GCCGCTGCCCTGCCCGCCTCCCGCCACCAAGCAGGCCGGCGTCGGCGGGGAGCCGGCCGCGGCGGGTGCGGGCTGCAGCCCTCGGCCCAAGTACCAGGCTGTGCTGCCACTACAGACGGGCTCGCTTGTGGCCGCCGCCAAGGAGCCGACGCCCTGGGTCGGTGACAAGGGCGGGGCGGCCCCGCCGGCTGCCACCGCGTCGGACCCGACGGGACCCCCTCTGCTGCCGCTGCCTGGGCCGCCGCCCCTCGCGCCCAGCGCCGCGGCCGGGACCCTGGCGTCCGGCGAGGCCCGATGGAAGGGTGTGCGGAAGAGCCCTCTCGGGGGCGGCGGCGGCTCGGGGGCCTCCAGCCAGGCCGCCTGCCTCAAGCAGATCCTGCTGCTGCAGTTGGACCTCATCGAGCAGCAGCAGCAGCAGCTGCAGGCCAAGGAGAAGGAGATCGAGGAGCTCAAATCCGAGCGGGACACGGTATGCTAGGGGTTAAGCAGCGTGTGCGCTGCGGGCGCAGTGCGCATGCCCGGGGAGGGGGCGCCGGGGAGGCCAGGGTCTCCGCGGTTATGGCCGGGGGCGGCCACCCGCGCAGGAGCGGTGTCCTCGGTGCTGGGCCCTCGGCCGCCGGGTCACAGGCTCGCTGGATCCGAGGGAAGGGTTAAAGGGCAGCCTTGGGGGTTGGGGGGCGTTTCGGGCGCCCAAGGGGTTAATTTAAAATGACAGCCCCAGGATTGTGGGAAAGACGTTTAGAGTTGGGTCTGAGCTGATTTGTGAGGTGTTAGAAAGGAAGGGGTGGCATGCAGATGTGGTTGGCGCGTGGAAGGGGTTAAATTAAAGTGCTCTGGCGTTGGAAGTGCACTAGGAGGGGCGGGACAGGCAGCTAGCTGTTGCCTTGGCCGCCCCGCTGCAGCATCTCCAGACAGGGAGGGGCTCGGTCTAGGCCTCCGTGGGGGCAGAGGGCAGAGGGGAGAGGTGACTTTCTGTGTAGTCTAGTTTCATCTTTCGTAATGTTGTTACCGAATTAGCGCCTTTGATTTTGGAGTTTATAATAGGGCCTTAGGTTTTAAACTCCATCCACTGGGCAGCTTCCTAGTATAAGCATGGTGTTTTAAACTGGAAGATTTTCAGGCATGGGGGAACTAAGGCTTGTACCTTGTTCCGAGAAGCGCGCGTCCCAGTGTTAGAACCTCAGAGTAGGGCGGTCGTTCATGATTTCTTTGTACTTCTGAGGAGCCCGACTGCCCTGGCTTGCTCCTACTGCGGCAGAAGTCAGGGCACCTCTGTACCAGATGTACTGCTTGGGGAACTGCGCGGTGGGGTGTTCCTTGCTAGCTACCTTTCAACTGCCTAAAAATAAACATGGTTTCTACAATTGTGTCCGGGCTGCAGCAACCTCTCCCTCCCTCCCTCCCTCCCTCCCTCCCTCCCCCCCTCCCCTCCCTGGCGTTTGTGCGCCAAGGGCTGAGGGAAGGAGCAGAGGGCTATTCATTTTGTTTGCCTTCCAAATGAATCGCATCAGGCAGCTGTCTTATTGGAGAATGCGTTCTGCAAGGTGGAGTGGGGAGACAGGCAGCTCTCATTAAAATCCCCCACGGTGTTGATGTGTGGAAGTTACCCAACATGGAGGTGGCACTGCTCTGCCACTGCACCGCAGTCTAGGGGTGCGAGGGCACTGTCATTGCAACACATCATGTCCTTCCACGGGCGCGGGGTGGGGAAAGGAGGGCCAGTGAGGGAGAAGGGAGCCAGGAAATGTCACCCACAACCCGCGGTTGAGTAATGCCAAGGCTGCGAATCAAAACAGATAGGCCAGGATGGGATGGGAGCCTGGTGGAGAAGGGGTTTTCCCTGCTGGTGGTGGAGCTGCTGCTGAGCCCTTTGCCGCTTCCCTGAGCAGGGGACATGGGGTGAGGTAAGGATAGCGTCAGCCTGAACTTGGCAGTCAGGGCCTCCGCTGTGTGTTGCAGTCTGAGCGTTGCTGAAGCTTGTTTCCTTTAATCCTGTGGTGGTTTGGGCTCTGCTGAAATCTATGCAGTGGACGTAATGCAGGCAGCATTAGTAGCTCTGTCTCCCAGAGGCCAGAATCCTTGACGGGTGCAAGTAGCACGATTGGCACCTTCTCCCAAAACTGAGTTAGGTGAAGTTTTTGATGGCAGTAGACTCATTTTGCTGAGTACGTAGTCCCTTTTCATTAGAATGAGAAGCGTTTGGTTTTAAGGAATACTTAGGTAAATAGCTGTACTTTTTCCCTATGCTTCCAGTGTGAAGCAGTTGTGTACGTCATACTTGGTGGGCTGTGCGTCTCTTGCTGGTGTCCTCATTTAGTGACATGGAGTGTTTATTGCTTTAGAAGTCCTCCTTGCCCCATACAGACATGCTGCTTTCAAGTAACACTGCCGTCCCCAGTGACCTGTGTGAGCTTGTAATTCCCTCTCAGTAGTTTGGGTGTTGCCATTGCGTACAGAGTTTGGGGATGGAAGAAGAGTAGGATTAGGACCTCTTAAGAGAAGATGGGGCTCTGGGGTGCAGCACAGAGGCTTGCCTTACTTACTGTATGTGGGGCTTGGAGTTATAGCCCTAGCATCACCAAAAACATAAAAATGTGAAGAATGCATGTAAGGTTACATCTGGAAGTTCCCCGCCTGACTGAGTTACTTGAATAGCAGCAGCAGCAGCAGAGAGCAGGCCCTGGGGGCTAAGACACTGTGGCCCCTCCAGTGGAGCAGTGCTGCTTGCAGAGGAGAGCTGCAAGTCCCCAGGCCTCAGCCCGTCTTGGTTAGCCCCTGAAATTAAACTGTGTGCCTTGCCTTCTCCGTTGTGTTTCAGGAAAACCAGATTAACGTCTAATGGACAAAAATAAGTTGGCTAGGCCTGGAAGTATGCAGCGAGGTGCAGCACTCACCGGCCTGCACAGGGCCCTGGGTTGGATCCCTGTCACGGGGGAGTACTGACCTGATAGGGGCCGCAAAGAGACGCGGGGGACCACGCTGTCCCCGAGAGGGCTAAATGGCTGTGTTTAACTTGTGTGTGTGTTAAGTCTGCATCTTGCCACTCTCTCTTGTAGCTCCTTGCTCGGATTGAACGTATGGAAAGACGGATGCAGCTGGTAAAGAAGGATAACGAGAAAGAAAGGCACAAGCTGTTTCAGGGCTATGAAACTGAAGAAAGAGAGGAAACAGAGCTCTCTGAGAAAATTAAACTGGAGTGCCAGCCGGAGCTCTCCGAGACAGCCCAGCCTCTGGCCCCTAAGCCGTTCTCATGCGGGCGGAGTGGAAAGGGACACAAAAGGTGTGCCGATAACGCGGTTGTGCTGTGTGGACGTGAGGAGGAGCCTTGTTACCGCAGACCAGGGGTAGGGGATTGGGGTTTATGAATTGGTTTTGTAGCAACCACAGCCTAAACTATGTAGTTTTTTTGGGCTGAGAAACTGTCTTGGAACACCCTTGCATCCTACGAGGAGTCCGTAGGAGTCTCCGGTCCAGTATTAATTACAGAGTGCGGAGTGTGGATACCACGCCTGTGTTTCCTTCAGATTATAGTAGTTCAGGTTAGGCATAGGAAGGCATAAGAAAGTGATGTGTAACTGTCTGTAGAGGCAGGAGATTAGGCTCTAAGGATAAGTGACTCAAGGGCCCGGGAAGATGGCTCAGGAGAGTAAGCGCTTCCCTGGCAAGTGCAAGGGCCTGAGTTCAATCCCCCGTTCCACAAAAAAAAAACAAAAACAAAAACAAAAAAAACTGCACAATATTAATGACTGTTCTGAGTTGGTATCTTGGCCTTGCAGTACAGAATGGAGGTTGTGAAAGGGACAAGAAATGGAGAGAGGGGGGTGAGCCAGCAGAAAGCAAGAAAAAACTAGGGATATAGTTAATAAACTCCAGAGTTGGGGGTAAGAGAAGCCGACTTGTGGTTTTCAGGGCTACAGTAGGTGTCACAGATCAGTGGCACTGAATGTTGGCCAAGGACTTTGAATAAATGAGCATGTGGTTGGTAACAGGGTATCAGCAGAGATTAAGTTCTGAAACTCACTATTCCATAGTTGTTTACTCCTGGTGTGGTGGCACATATCTGTCATCTCAGTACTCTGGAAGGCTGAGGCAGGAGGATCCCAAGTTCAACCACAAGCGTGGGCAGTTTAGCAAGACCCTGTTTCAAAAGTGTTTTCCCAAGGGCTGGGATGCAGCCCAGGGCTGAGGCTTGGCTTTTGATCCGTAGTCCTGTAACTCCCTACGGGCCTGCTCTCTGGGCTGGAAGCGTGAGGCTGTTTCTGTTCACGGCTTCCAAGTGAGCATCAGAGAATCAGGTCCCTTGACTACTGGTCATTTGGGGGCAAGGGAACACACTAGTTATCTTGCCTCAGAATGTATTCAAATTAGATTTTACTCACAAGTAAATTTCATAACATTTTCTTCCCATCTAATAGGAAAACCCCATTTGGAAATACAGAAAGAAAGACTCCTATTAAAAAGCTGGCTCCTGAATTTTCAAAAGTCAAAACAAAAACTCCCAAGCACTCTCCTGTTAAAGAGGAACCCTGTGGTTCCTTGTCTGAAACTATTTGTAGACGTGAATTGAGGAGCCAAGAAACCCCAGAAAAGGCCCGGGCTTCCGTGGACACCCCACCGAGACTCTCCACTCCCCAGAAGGGACCCAGCGCCCATCCCAAGGAGAAAACCTTCGCCAGTGAGACCGAAGACCTGCCATACCTTTCCACCACAGAAATGTATTTGTGTCGTTGGCACCAGCCTCCCCCGTCACCGTTACCATTACGGGAATCCTCTCCAAAGAAGGAGGAGACTGTAGCAAGTAAGGCATAGAGAACACTTGCTCTTATACCCTAGTGGTGGAGGTCAAGCTAACAAGTGTGAAAATGCCTTTGGCATTTTTTAAAAAGTGCAATCAATAAAGCAGAGTTCTGTCAAGAACGAGTAAGTTAACAGCCAGAGACAGACACTGCAGGCATTGCAAATAGATGGAATCACAGCAGAGTGTGCTCAATGTCTTTGCCTGCTTACAACCTGGGAGATGTGTTTGCCAGTAAGTTGCTCATCACAAGAGCACCAGACTCGGGGTGTGTTCTCCAGCAACTTGCGAGCCCTCTGAAGGAAGGGTTTTCTGTGCTGGGAAATGCATAGAACTTACACGGGGCCATGCACGACTGTTCCTGCGCTCGATGCTGTGTGAAGCCTGGGAGGGCGGGCTTGGGCGCTCAGGGGCCACTGGTCATTTTTGGTTGGGAATCCACCTTGGGCGGGGCATTTCACCTGGGCCTCCGTTCTTCCAGGATATAAACATTCCTCTGTATCTCTGTGTCCCGGTCTGGGGGCAGGAGGAATCTGCCAAAGACCAGCAATCTTACTCTATTCTACTCTACTTCACAAAGGTTCTAAGATGCGAAGAGTTTACTTGGATTGCAGTAGCCCATTCACTGTTCATATATTTAAATAAAATGGTCTACAAACTATTTTTCAAACAATAAGGACTATCTTGGGATATCTGAGCTGCTTGGGAGGGTGTGGGCTGTGGGACATTGGTCTTCGCTCCCTTTCATTTGTTTTTTTCTTTATGGCTCCCATAAAGAAAATACTCCACAGAAGTACTCCTCTATCCTATATCAACCAGTAACGGGACTGTGTGTGCAGTGGTGTCCCGCTAGTCTGTGACAGTCACCCTGGCTGCTCCGGGGAGGTGGCGGGAAGCCTTCTTGGATAGGGCCTTGGGCCGGAGGCCTTGGCCATACAGGGCTGGGGATGGGAGTCCATTCCGATGAGATGAGCGCGTTCTCCAGGCTTGCTTTGTTCGTGTGGCGACACAATTCAGTGGGGAGGATAGATGAATTACCTAGCAGCCCTTAGGCCGCACCTGGGTCGTGAGTGGCGCAGGGTCCTGATGTAGGTGCCGATCTTTGTTGGTTCAGTCAGTTGAACAGGTTGATTCTTAAGGATTGACCTTTTTGCTGCTGTGGCGATGCTGTGTGACGACTTAAGAGGAACCGTGAACGACTTCCCATCCGGCCTGGGGAATGGCTTGGTCCGGAGCGCTTCTGTGTGACTGGCTCTTTTTGAAAACCCTGTCTTCCCTAGTTAGGCAAATTGCTGACCCTTCTGAGATTGTGGGTGTAACAGTGAGGGTGTGTGACGGGGCGATCCTGACCCCTTGTGGAGTCTGAGTTACCTGCTTCATGTGGGCACCCTCACGTACTCTTGACGTCCGGGTCTCCAGAGGAGGTCGATGGCTTGTTCTCAGGAAGCCCCAGTCGTTGTGCATGTTGTTCAGGTGGACCAGCAAGGCGTAGTTTGTTTGGAGGGAGGAGGGGCATTGGAGAAGAAGACTACATGTGTAAGTTTTGAGAACGCTGATCTTTTATTTGAAAAATAGGGTCAACTTTTACTCACCTGCCATGTTCTGAGTTTAAGGTTTGATACCCTTGGCCATCAACTGTTGCAGGGAAACCACCCTAAATAATGAAGAAAAGAAGTCGTCTCAGTGTAAAAAAAAAGTGGTGGGCTTATTTTCTTTTCTTTTGTCTGTTGTTCCCTCTTCCCCTCCCCCAGAGAGAAATTCTCAAAAGAACAACTCAAAAACCACAATGGCTTCCTACTGAGAACTTCAGTGATGACCCTTTCTTCCACTTTGGGTACGGGCTTTTTTTCTTTTTACACTGAGATGACTCTTCTTTCCTGCATTATTCAGGGTGTCTGATGCCATCAAGTGTTGCAGGAGAAACTTCAGTCTTGGCTGGTGAGTAGAATAGGATTCACGCTGGCTGGGCCGGGGCGGGGGTGGGGGGGCCGGTGGACGGTTGGGTGTCACCGTCCCCTTCTGTTGGATGTGGGAGAGTGCGATTCTGCAGTGTGTGATCGATTCCGCCCCATAGACCAAGATGATGATGATTTCAGTTTTTCAGGAACTGCAGTAGCGTCCGTTATAGGACTAGTCAGGCATTGGCTTAGGGTGTTTTGTGGTCCCGAGCTGGGCAGACTGCAGTGCATTTTAGGCTCTTGGTACCATAGCGAGGACACTGAATTCAGCTTCAGGCAAGGCCCTAGAGTGGATTCCTGTCACTTGGTAACTGTGTCTAATGGGGGAGTGACCTCTTGTCCTAGGGAGTAGCTGGAGGGGCGTGTAATTTTGGATTTAAGGGTGGTTCCACCCCTCCTCTCTTTCTTTTTCTTTCTTTTTTTCTTTCAGTTCCTTCTTGGAGGGACCACTCAGTAGAACCTCTAAGGGACCCAAATCCTTCAGACCTTTTGGAGGTAAGAACCCAAGAGCTGTCCACAGAAGGGAGTAAGGAGTTGAACAGAACATGGGGCTGTCAGGCCGGGGAGATAGCTCAGCAGCTTAAACAGCTGCCTGGCAAGTGCAAGGTCCAGAGTTTGGTCCCCAGTAGCATTAAGAAAAATAAATAATATGGGGGTGTCCAACCTGTGTGTAGTGGTGCACCCTTACAATCCCAGCTACTTGGCAGCAGGATTGCTTGAGTCCAAAAGTTCAAAGCCAGTTAGGACAACATTGGGAAATCCTGCCTCAAAAAAGATGAGGCGTATCTTTATTATGCTGTACTGTCGTGTATGGATAGATTAGATAGCACTTTAAGCCCAGGAAGGCATTTGAGGGATGATCTAGTCTGTTTCCTTCATTTAATCCAAGATGTGACTTAAACATAACAGTGGGGGCTGGAGAGATGGCTCAGTGGTCTAAAGCACCTACTTAGAACAAGCTTAGCAAAGCACAGGACCACAGTTCAATCCCCCAGCACCACATGCCAGCCCGCCCTGCCCCCTGGTGGGCTGAGCTGGCCACACACACACACACACACACACACACACACACACAAATAAATATATAAAGTTTAAAAAAAAAATAACAGTGAAGCCAGGTGTGGTGGCGCACACTTCTAATCCCAGCAATTAGGAGGCTGAGTCAGGAGGATTGCTGCAAGTTTGAGGCCAGCCTGGATGACAAACTGAGTTGAAAGCCAGCCTGAACTTCATGGTGCTACTCTGTCTGAAAACAAACTTTATGACAATAAAAGGTTCACTTTCATTCATCTCCCTAAGGCGATTAGTATTCTTCCTCCCTTTGAGCACACTTACTCTGTCACTCTTCTTGCCTTCTGCAGTAGTCCTAGAAGTCCCCTTTCGTGAGGTGTGTTTTTTTTGTTTTCCTTTTTTCCTTCTGTAGAACCGGGGGTTGAACGCAGGCCCTTGTGCTTGCCAGGCAAGCGCTCACTCTACTGAGCTATCTCCCCAGCCCCCCTCGTGAGATGTTTAGTTGGGCCATTGTGGCTTTTGCACTGTCCTGTATAGCTTCAAAGCATTTACCTTTCATGGTCATTTTGACGTTGGCAAAGAGCCACAAGTACCTGCTGCCAGATCTGCTGGATAAGTTGGATTTTTGTTGTTGCTGTTTCAGATGTTTTTACAAGCTTGCCTTTTAGTGACTGGCACTTGGCAGCAACATTCATTTTTATCATACATTGTACATAAGAAAATTAAGGTCCAGAGTAATTAATTGCTCAGGAACAACAGCTAGGGCTGGTGAGATAGCCCAGGGACAAAGACGCCTGCTTAGGCAAATGAAGGGACCACAGTTTGGTCCCCAGCACCTCATGCTGCGCCAGTGGCCAATATTTTAGTATTGATTTTTGTTGAGACAGTTTTGCCATGTAGTCCAGGCTGGCCTTGAACTCACTATGTGGCCCAGACTGGCTCTGAACTCACAGGGATCCTGCTGCCTCTACCCCCTGAGTGCTGGGAATACAGGTGTACAGCACCATGAGTGATATTTTTTATTTTGAGACAGGGTCTGGCTAAGATGCCTAGACTGGCCCTGAACCTGGGACTATCCTGTCTTAGTCTCCTGACTTCCTGACTAGCTGGGTTTATAGTCACATGTCAATGTATCTGGCTTTAAAAGTTGAGATTCTGAATGTAGATCCTCGTAAAGTGTGGAGGTAGAAAGGGCCTCTGACAGCCTCTGGGGTGTTTCAGTTTGTTGGTTTTCTGTTTTATTGTGGGGCTTTTTGGGCACCGGGAATCAAACTTGGCACCTTGTGCTTGCCAGGCAGGCACTTGTGTCTCTGAGCTGTCTCCCAGCCCCAGGCATTTCAGTTTGATGTGACTTTTAACTTGGAAAGGAATGATTTTGAAATTTGCGAACTCAAAGGCTAGGGGTGTGAAAGGTGCTTATGCTGTGTTGATTCTGTAGTGAGCAGGAGGTTCGCAGGCTTCCCACAGAGCTCTCAGACTCAGGTAGAACCTAGAAGTGAAAGACTACATCCCCAGGAGTTGGAGGCTGGTGTGTGTGTGTAGCTGGTGACGAGCAACTTCTCTCCCCTATTCCTCGCAGAACCTGGATGACAGTGTGTTCTCGAAGCGGCACGCAAAGCTAGAGCTGGATGAGAAGAGAAGGAAAAGGTAAGGCCGGAGCTGTCCACTCTGGGACCTGAGCCCTGGACCCTGGTGGCCCTCGCAGGTCTTCTTGTCCTGGTGTCCCTGCTGGCTCCTTGGGAGTGGTGGGTGCTGTAGGTGAACACGTGTGGTTGCTTTACCTCCAGGCGTGCCCCTCCTCGCGCGCTGTGGGCCTCAGGCCTGTGGCCTGACCGCGAGACCTCGCCAGCTCTGGCTGCGCAGGACAGTCCCTTCTCTTGATTCCCTGGCTCTGGCTGCAGGCTTCCTCCTAGCTGCAGGCCTGTGGGGCTGGCTTGCATAGCGCAGAGTGTGGGTAGACGATAATGTTAGGGTTGCTTGCTTTGTTTGTTTTCCAGGTGGGATATTCAGAGGATCAGGGAACAAAGAATTTTACAACGACTACAGCTCAGAATGTATAAAAAGAAAGGAATTCAGGAATCTGAGCCTGAGGTTACCTCATTTTTCCCTGAGCCAGATGATGGTAAGTTTTGGTGTTTTAAGAGGTTTTTCAAAGAAGAAAAGGGTGCACAGCTCCTGGGTGCTGCTTGTCGTGCATAGTAGATTGAACTCAGAGCTGGTGTGGATGCCAGATGTGTCAGCTGGCACTAACGGCCCTGCTTGGCTCTCTCTGTAGTTGAAAGTCTGATGATCACCCCCTTCTTGCCTGTGGTAGCGTTTGGACGGCCGTTGCCAAAATTAACTCCAAGGTAAGTATAAAGGTAGGAGGTTTCCTCCCTCCCTCTCAGATAACCTGCATTTCGCTCAAAGTAGATCCAGGCAGGGTTGGGGTGTTTTTTTGGTTTTTGGGGGTTTTTTTTTTGCCAAGCTAGGGATTGAACTCAGGCCCTTGCATTTGCTAGTCAATTTTGAGGGTAATCGTGATTATTTCTTTGTTTTGGCATCGGGGGCTGAATCAGGGGGCACTCTACCACTAAGCTTTATTTTTTATGTGGTTCCAGGGATTGAACTCAGAACCTTGTGCTTGCTGGGCAAGTGCTTATTCTACTGAGGTATCTCCCTGGCCCACACCAAGCTTTTTTTTTGGTGGAACTAGGGATTGAACTCAGGCCCTTGAACACACTAAGCTATTTTGAGACACAGTCTCACTGTAATTCAGACTGGCCTTGAGCTCACTGTGTAGCCCAGGCTGGCCTTGAACTCACAGCTCTCAGTCTCCAGGTGCAGGGATTACAAAGGTGCACCACCATACCTGGCTCTCAATCATTTTTTTTTATTTTGAGACCGTCTTGGCTGAGTTGCCTAGGCTGACTTTGCACCTGGAATTCTCCTGCCTCAGCCTCCCAAAGTAGCTGAGATTACAAGCATGTGGCCCCATGCCCAGCTTGCCATGATTCTTTGATAAAAATGAAGGTGCATGGCAGTAGCTTTTACAGTAAAAAGACACCTAAGCCCAAAATAAGGATACTTTTTGAGTTTGAGGTAGATGATTCCATCATCTTAATATACTGACTTGCTGTGGCTTTGAGGCAGGAAGGACTCCCCAGAGTTGGAACTCGGGAGTCAGGGCCAGAAGTGGGAAGGACATGTTTTCCTGGAGTTACTGTTGTGCACAGCAGATCTCGTCTAGTCATGCAGGTCAGTTTCCTCCTCTTTCGCCAGGAATTTTGAGCTGCCCTGGTTGGATGAGCGTAGCCGTTGCAGGTTGGAGATCCAGAAGAAGCAAACCCCTCACCGGACATGCAGGAAATAGCTGCGCTGCAAGAACCCTGTGTCTTCAGATAGTTGTAGCGTGCCACTCCCAGAGTGGCAGAGACCTGTGTGTGTGACCTGGGTGCTCACGTATGTTACCGTTCACTGATGGTGCCCACCAGTACTCCTTGATTTGTTTTGTTTTCACAAAAACTCTTTCATTGGGCTAACTGTGAATTATGGAGGGGATGGGGGCTTCTTTTCCCTTTTTGGGGAAGTGAGCTCAAGCTAAATCTGTCGGGGGTCAGAGTGGGAAGTTTCAAGGTGCACGTCTATGCATTTGCCTATGTCATAGGGGTACGGCGCCCTTCCTGAGATGCAGGGAAGATAACAGACCTGCACAAAGCAGCTGTGGCTGCCCGGCATCTCACTCCATATAGTTGGGGTGTAGTGGGTTTGACCCTAAAATAAAACAAAAAACTCACCATGAGCATTAGGACCAGATGAAAACAAACTAATGAAGTGATGAACAGGTTGTCTTTTCAGAGTAGGAAGGAGACCCAAGATTCAGTGAACAAATCTGAAAAGAGCTGTTCTCCTGACGCTGTTTGGAGACATTGCCAGGCGGGGAAGGGTGTTGATTGTTTTCTTAGTTAACAAGTAACTGTTCTTCCCTGATTCCTTGGAAAATAAACGGGATGTTAGTTTCAGAGTCTGCAACCCTAAAGAAGCAGTTGTCATTTGGGGATGGGGTGCTGGACCTGTGCAGATGTCCTTGTCACGTCCCTTCTCAGGTGTTCCTTAGCTGGGCTTTATCTTGTACTGATTCTTGGTAGGGTGGAGGTTGGGCCGGGTGGGGGAGAAGAAATGCCTGCTTCCTGTAGTTGGCAAGTGTCTGCATCTTTAAACAACTGTACCTGATGAGCTTCTCCATTCACTTTGTAAAAATAGATTTGTAAGTGTATCATCTTGGTCCCCTCTCTTGTCCCTGTTTTGTTAAAAAAAATAATAATAATAATAAAAAAAATGCAGGACAGCACTCCCAGGCCACTCTGGTCTCAGTGTAAGATCCCAGTTAACTATCTGGAAGGAAAATAGAGCCAAGACCTCTGGTCTGACCTATATAGGAATTGCCTTTCGTTAGTTTTCAGGGCTATTGTGTGAAAACAAGTAGGAGTCTAACCTCCTAGAAGGTAGGGGCTTTTATCCTTGAAGATGTCCCCAGATTATTAGCACTTTTAGAGGAGAAGCCAAGGTATGTAGGGTGTGTGGCCGGCCCGTCGGGGAGCGTGAGAGCGGGTACCATTGCGGGAAGAGAAATGGCAAGAAAAGGTGCTCAGGGGCCCCCACCGCCAAGCTTTCTGTGAGCTGTTGCTCTGTGCTCCCTCGGTTTGACTTTGAAAAGAATTACTGCGGCAGCACGTGTAGTATTCTCGGATGATCTTGCTGCTCTTATTTCTCCTGTGTGTGCGTGCATGTGTGTGTGTGCGTGTGTGTGCGCGCGCGTGAGTGTGGCTACGGGTTTTCATTTGTAACTCCATCTGCTTAGGAGAGGGGCTCTGAAAAGGAACCTGCTGTACACTGCATTGCAGCAAGGACATAGAAATAGGACTTATTCCACTCGGGGCTCTCATCTCACACCTTAAGGACAAGATTTCTACAAAAACTGGGCCAGGTTTTCTTTGTTCTCCGTTATTTTAACGTGGCACGCTGTTTCATGTTCCTACGCTGGCCTACATTATGTTCCTTTATAACGTGCCCCCAAAAGAAAAAGCCCCAATCCTGCTCAGTTTCTTCCTGACTTGAGTCTTTGTCAAGTTCCTGATTTCGGGTGTGGCTAGCACATTTTACCTTCATGTTTTTGCCCTACACAAGGGACTCCTCAGACACTGAACTTAATGTAGACTGAGAGGACTCCATGAGGTGCTATCTGGCCAGACGTAGGTGGGTTCTTTTCCCCTGTTCTCCCTTTCATAAGGGCCTCTTGCGTTATTGCCCCCTTCCAGATCAGCTCTCCTTTGATTTGGGTATGTTGTGGTTTGTTGAGAAGGAGGTCGGCGCAAAGTTCCAAGAGTTGAAATTACAGTGTGTTACAGCGTGGGGGGAAAATTAGTCTTATTTTTCCCTACGTGGGCTACAACACTGTGAAATTCAATCTGCAGCCGAAGGCCCTGAAGTTCTAAAACATAGCTCTTTTCTTTCTTTAACGAAGTTTAAGCTAGCGTTAATAAATTAAAGAGAAATTGCTTGTCTCTCCACTTCAGCTTTGTTTTATGCCCATTTCATATTGTTGTCTGTGTTGTAATTCATACTTTTGATACCATTTCTGATATGTAAAATTGGTTGTCTTGTAAATATCTTATAAAGAGTTCAATTGTAAATAAACTATTGTGGCTGTTAATTTTTGAACTTTTGCTTCAATTTATTAATTTGTTGGGAAATGTTAAATAATTTTGCCTAAGTGCTTGAAAGATGGAAAGAAATCCGTTACAGTAACAAAATAGCAGGGCTGGCACCATAGCTTAGTGGTCTAAAGCAGCTGCTTAGGCAAGCTGAGGCAGGCACAGAGGACCACGGTTCCATCCCCAGCACCACATGCCCTGCCAGCTGTGCCCTCAGGGTGGGCTGAGCTGGCCAAAAAAGATAAATATATAAAAAATACAGTAACAAAATAGCACATTATTTCCCCTTTGCACAAGGTACAGTTTGTGTCTGAATGCTTGCTCCATCCCTCTCTGTCCAGAGGTGCTTCCTCACGTAATTGGCAACTTTAGATATGGGATGGAAGGATATCTGATGCTTGGTATCTTAAATTGATAAAATCTCTCTAACCTCATAGTTGGAAAGACCTCTTCAATCATCTAGTCTGACCCTAATGCATAGTTTCTGCTGGCCAACATTTCCACACAAATTAAGTCCAGCTTCTGCTTCAACACAATGTCTTTCCCCCATTTTTGTTAAATGTTTGAAAATTCTTCATTGTTTACCAAATCTAACTTCCTGTAATTTGAACCCATTTGTTCTTTTGCCTTCCAGGGTGATGAAAAAAAGATCAGTTCCCTTCTTTTGCTGAGAGGACAGTTAAGATAGCGGTGGCAGGGCCAGGGAGATAGCTCAGCAGTCTTAAGCACCTGCCTGGCAAGCGCAAGGACCCTGGTTCAATCCTCGGTACAGCATGCTCTGCTGGGGAGGCACATTGTACCTACCAGCCACTGAAACCAGGCATGGTAATGCATGCCTGTAATCCCAGCACTGGGCAGGTTTAAGGAGGACCATTACGAGTCCAAGCGGCACAGCAAGACCCTGTACCAAATACATAAATTTAAAAAAATAAAAAAACTGGCAATATCCAAGGTCTGTCTTCATCTAGAGATCTTACAATTGTTCCTCTGCAAAAAGAATTGTGAGTTGCCTTTGACTTATAGTTTATCCATGTCCACTCACAAGCAGGAATCACACAAAATGACTGTAGCGGCTGCTTCAACAAAGCAGTCTCAGGTTGCTGTGGTTCGATCTCCACAACTGCAGCCCAAACATGCCCTGAAGACCTTCTGAGCCTGTCCCAAAAAAAAAAAAAAAATCCTCAACAAAATGACTGTAGGACAGAGGCTGATTGTCCCTTTATTTAGACATTAAGCTTGGCCGCTGTATTTACTAAATCATATAGCCACCATTTTAACCTCTTGTTTTTAGAGTGGGATTTACAGGTCATTACATTCAGCCACCTGTCTAACCTGTTGAGATTATTTGGATCCTGATTCGGGCTGTAGTATTCGTAAATTCTTCTAAATAGTCTATAAATTTGATAAATAGGATCCTTAGCCATATCATTTACAAAAATACGGCATGGACTCCTGGGTAGTAGCATAGTGATTTTTTTTTTTTTTTTCAGTACCAGGGATGAACTCAGTCTTTCTTTTTTGTTTCTTTTCTTCTTTTTGCTGAACCGAGGATTGAACTCAGGCCCTCACACTTGCCAGGGAAGCGCTTATTCAATTGAGCTATCTCCCCAGCCCGAGGCATGAACTCAGGACCATGCCGCTGAGCTATAGCCCCAGACTCTCACAGTGACTTTTATCTGACATTATTGTACTCTCAGTAGGTGCTTATGCATCTTGTATGTCCATGTTATGGTCCAAAGAGAATATGCTTTTTGTCACCAAATTCCTTGCCCTAATCAAAGCATTTCTATCTGGTAGCCCTTAAAAATGGTATGAACGTGGGGCTGGTGAGATGGCTCAGTGGTCTGGGGCACCTACTTAGAACAAGCTTAGCAAAGCAAAGGGACCGCGGTTCAATCCCCCAGCACCACATGCCAGCCAGCCCGCCCCCTGGTGGGCTGAGCTGGCCACGCACTAAATAAATAAATAAATAAAATACATTAAAAAAAAAATGGTATGAACGTCAAAACTTTGGACCAAACATCAGTTTATACTATCTGTTTAAAGCTATTCTCATGGTGTTTTTTTTTTGTTTGTTTGTTTGTTTGTTTTTTGTGGAACCGAGGATTGAACTCAGGCCCTTGCACTTGCCAGGCAAGCGCTTAGTCCACTGAGCCACCTCCCCGGCCCCTATTCTAATGTCTTGGTAGGAGTAACAGCCTAGCAACCTGCGTTGTGGACAGGGGATGGCTGGGGTCGGAAGGCACAGGAAGTCAGGAAAGAAAATAACGGGCCACGGTGCAACAGCGTGTCTTCAGTGTCACTGGGACAACTGCTAGCCACTCTGGCTTGGCAAACCGACAGCGCTACGGCTTTGGAGGTTCCCCGTGATTTAAGGTTTCACTAAGCAAACGAGTAAGATACTTTGGTGAAAACAGCTCTCGTGTTGCAGTGGGTGGCCCCGGGACAAGAGCTGCAGCCAGGATAGCCCAAGATGGCCGAGCCAGGGACCCAAGAAGGCTGCGGTAGTCCTGCTTCCCCGGCCCAGCGCCCGCCCTGAGGAAATCAGCAGCCGCGTCACGCCCAGTGACGTCATCCCGCTCGCCCGACAACGTGCCGCAGGACGTAGCCCAGCTCCTCAAAACAGGGGTTGGGGTGAACCAGCGCGGCCCGCGAGGCATGCCGGGACTGGTAACAGAGCCTCCCGACAGCCTCTGCGGCAAGCGCGGTGCGTCGGAGCTGGCCGGTGGCGGCCTATCTCCGCAAGATGGCGGATCGGCGGCGGCAGCGCGCTTCGCAGGACACAGAGGACGAGGAGTCCGGAGCTTCGGGCTCCGACAGCGGCGGCTCCTTGGCGCGGGGAGGCGGGAGCTGCAGCGGGAGCGGCGGCGGCGGCGGCGGCGGCGGCAGCGGCTCCCTGCCCTCGCAGCGCGGCGGCCGCTCCGGGGCCCTTCATTTGCGGCGGATGGAGAGCGGGGGGGCCAAGAGCGCCGAGGAGTCGGAGTGTGTGAGTGGGCGGGGCGCGGCGGGGCGGGCCTCGGGGCTCTCGGGGGTCCCCGCGAGTTAGCAGCCGGGCGGACCCCGGAAGCCCGCGGGGAGGTGCGGGCGGTCCCGGGAGGGGCGCGGAGCGGATGGAAAGCGGATGTTTATTCGGGAATTGGGGGCGGAGAGGAGAGACCGGGCCTCCCTCGGGTGCAGCCTGTTAGGAGCGATTCCCCTTTCTCTCCCCTGCCCGACCGACCATCTTGTGCCGAGTGTCGTTGCCCTTTCCACCTGCGCTCCCTGGTTGCCCTGCCCGCTTGGGCCGTCACGGCTAACCCATGTCTTCTCCTTAGGAGAGCGAAGATGGCATGGAAGGCGATGGTGAGTACCTTCCTTTGCCTCCGCTCGGCAAGAGTTGTCTCACACGGAAACGCAAGTACCTGTTTCCCGCGATGAACCGTGTCTCAGACGCACCGAGGAGGACCGTTAGCGGGGAGGATGCCGAGGGCAGGCTTGGGGACCCAGGGCTTAGGAGCGCGGGTTTGGGCCCCGTGGTCCTGGCTGGTCCCTCGGCTGGGCCATTTCCCCATTCGTAAATGGAGCCTGATTTTATCTGTCTCCTAGGCCCATGTGAGAATTACGTGAGCTTTTTAGCCTGATGTGCAGTAACTAGTCAGGAGTATAAGGATTCTGGCTTTCTATCCCTTTTTCATGTTTTTCTGTTTTCTTTCAGCCGTCCTCTCGGATTATGAAAGTGCAGAAGATTCAGAAGTGAGTATAATAGGTGCTTTTCCTGTAGCACAAGTTGGAAACTTTTTTAAAAACATGTACTTGTGTGGTAGCCAAACACCATGACCTACTTGTTTCTCTTTTGGTGCGTTTTTCATCTGTTTTTTGTTTCTGTATGTCTTTTTGAGACAGGGTCTCGCTGTACAGTTCAAGCTGGCCTTGATCTCACTTGGTAGCCCAGGCTGTTCTCAAACTTGAAGCATTCCCCCTGCCTCCATCTCCTGGGTGCTGGGATTACAGGAGTATGCCACCATGCCTGGCTTGATGTTTTGTCTTTTGAGGCAAGGTCCAGCCTGGCCTAAGACTCACTGTGTAGTCTAGGCTGGCGTTGAGCTCACATCAGTCCTCCTGCCTCAGCCTCCCAAGTGCCAGGTGACAGGTGTGCGCCACCACACCCAGCTCTCATTTGTGGTTGCTTAAAAACAGAAGAGTTTTGTTCAGTGAGTGTTGGAAACCTGGGTGAAACCCCCTCAAGCCACAGGTGTCTGTTAGGTTGTAATTGACATCCATTCCCTTTTGAAGAAAATAAGGTTTCTAAATAAGAGAACAAGAACTTTGTGAAGTCTTTTACAAGCTGTTTGAGATTCATTGTATGCTGACTAGGTTGAGATGCTCGTAGGCTGGTTGTTTTTTTTTTTTTTTTAACCCCCAAGAATATCTGAAGATGTTAAAAGGACAGGATTATGAATAGTTTGTGACAAAAACATGTTTCAGTTTATGGGTAGAGCTTGTTTTCGTTCTTTAGGAGACCTGAGAGCTTATTTGATGGGATAAATAACTACAGATGACATCAGAATGGTTATTTAGCCTGTACTGTTTTAAAAAAATAGTTATTTTGATATAGGGGTTCGCTACACAGTTCAGACTCATAGTGATCATCTTGTCTCAGCCTTGCCAACATTGGGATTAGGGGCGTGCACCATGATAGCTGGTTTTACACGGTAGGCCTTACTGGGGATCCAAGCTGCGTCTGTGCCTGACAGGCAGGTGTTTGGGCTGCCGAGCTATCGCCCCAGCCCTAGCTGTAATTTTTTTTTTTTTTTTTATTTAGCAGAGTCTACAGGGTCTCTCTCCATAGATCCAACTCAGTGATTCTCCTGTTTTCAGCCTCCCAAGAACTGGGATTCCAGGTGTGCGCCACTATGCACAGTCTCAGTCACCAGCTCAGTGCGCCCTGGGGTTGGCGCCAGCACAGCACGCCAGGAATTGAACCCTGGCTGCTGCGCTCTGCCTGATCAGGCGCTTTAGTCCACTGAGCTATCTGGCTGGCCCTCCTAGCTGTGATTTTTAACAGGCATTGCTAATTCCTTTGTAATCTCTGTCTTGAAGCCTAGCTATCTTCAAATTTGCCTCCACACACAATTCTGACGTGTCTCACCTGACTCAGGCCCAAGCCCTCTCAAGGCTGCCCTGGCTCAGCCATCCGTAGTAACCTGACTTGGTGACAACTGCAGGGATAACCAGTGAGTTGTGGCTGGGCCTGAGTCCATCATAGGATAGAGTAATCTGGGCAACACATGTCCCAGGGAGGGGGGAGCAGGTGCAGAAGCGTGGAGGCAGAAGAGAAGATGCAATATCCGGAAACTTGGAAATAGTTCGTGTGCTGGCAGCATCCTTGGGACCTGTTGAATACCAGAGGAAAAGGCGTGTTGATGAGTAGGGACCAGATGGCTAAGGGACCTGCTCTTTTTGTCTCAAGTGCTTGTTTTGTACCAAGGCTACAATAGCACTGGGTGAAAGACAGACCTCATTCCTGGGTCATAGGGGGAGCAACAGATGCTGTTTGCTGAGGTGCGAGGTGTTAGAGGCCTAGAGCCCGTGGGGAGCATGTGGCGGAGCATCCAGGCAGGTCTGGGTTGCTGGGAAACACAGGGGGATATTTGGGTAGTGCCCTGAAGGTTGGGTAGGAGTTAGCCCTCAGTTTTCTACATGGGGGGAGGGAGCACTGCGGAGCAGTTCTGAGGGGAGGGTTGCATGGTGAGCTGGAGGACGCGGTGTTGTGTGTGACTGGAACGTAGGAAGGCAAGAGAGTGGGGTGGGCAGAGGGGAGGCTCAGCCCTGGTGGTATTTTTGCTTTTTGAGAGTCACTGAGTCGCCAAGGCTGAATTATTGATCCTTCTGCCTCTGCCTCAGCCTTTCAGAGTGCTGGGATTACAAACTTGCCCCTGACTTTAGTCCAGATCTTAAAAGAATCTTGTAAAACAGGTTAAAAGTACCTGGATTTTATTTTGAAGAAGTTACACCCCTCCCAAGTAAAAAAAAAAAAAAAAAAAATTAAATAAAAATGGGACTTAAATTTTAAAGCAATGTTCTTCCTCCTGAAACACTATAAGGTTTCTAAGAGAATAAGAACTTTGTGAAGTCCTTTACAAGTTGCGATTTATTGTACACTGACTAGGTTGAAATACCAGCGAGTTGGGTTTTCCCCCCCAAGAATATCTGAAGATGTTAAAAGGACAGGAAACTTGGAAGAGGGATAGTAGCCTTGGACATTAGCGAGATCTCAGGTTGGTGCTTATGTGTAGTGGAATGTGAGAATTATCTTATAACATTTTTGTGTGCAAGGTTGGAGAGGAAAACCTTATAAAGGAAGCAGTGTGGAAATGGAAGTGGGAAGTGTGGCTTCGAATAGGGCAGCGGCGAGGGAGGTAGTAAAGGGAAGAATGGAGGGGCTGAGTGGCTGGGAAGAGCAGTACTGGAGACAGTTCTGGTGGGGGATGCTGAGCGCAGGTGGGGGAGAAGTGACGGTGGGTCCGCTCTGTAAGGAGAGCAGTTGGTGCCTACCTATTGGGTAGGGTGCCTCAAAGAACATGGTGGCGCCCCTATAGAGAAGGGGTGGAGCTGAGGGAGAGTTCATTGAATTGGGACTTGAATTAAAAAGGAATCAGGCTGTCCAGACAGCTTAGGCAGTAGAGGGACCGGGTTCCATCCCTAGTGTGCGTTGACACCAAGATTGGGAGTGGGCATCGTACTGCGCCTGTAATCCCAGCAATTGGAAGGCTGAAAACAGGATCACTATGAGTCTGATCTGTATAGTGAGATCCTGTAGATTCTGTACTAAAAAGAAAGCGTGCAGGCTGATGAGTGGCGATGGCAGATCACTTAAGATGGGAAGGGCCTCGGTGTTAGGTTTGGGGTAGCTTTTTTCCTTTGTTTCCAAGTACTGGTGATGGATCCACTTGTTCTGCAAGTGCTGTCCCTGTGCGCAACACTCAGCCAAGTTTGGGGTGGCTTGAAATTAAGGAACCAGTGTGACTGTCAGGTGGTGATATCTAATGTAAGATTTCCGGGGCTGGGGAGATAGTTCAGTAGAATAAGTGCTTTCCTGGCAAGCACAAGGGACTGAGTACAATCCCTGGTTCTGCAAAAA